TCGTGAGGATTAGGACACAATGCGCTACATACATCATGCATAATATAGGTACAATGCCATTGGAATGGACCAAAAAAAGAGTTGTGTTACATTGTTGGCATTTTCTCAGCAAGCCAGTGTGCTGTTTTCATGATTTTTTTCAGTATTGGGAAGAAAAACTCTCAGCTTTAATCTGATATCCAAAACATAAAAATGTACAGATCACAATTTTCCAGACTTACCGGGGAATGTTCACACTGAGTTCGTTGAACTCATTGTCGTGAGTTGAACAGTATGATCATTTTTGCCAGTTGTATAGTCTTGAGGGTTCTTTAAACTCATGGTGGCAGCAAACATTCATTATATGAGTCTGAGCATGCGCATTACTGCATGCAATGTATAGCGCCACCAAGAGTTTCATCGTATTTTTTTTAATGAAACCAATCAAACGACAAGACGTTGTGCACAAACCAAATGACGTGTCGACATTAATCACAACGCCATGGCTTAGGTTAGATTTATAGAAAAATAAAAAGTATCTTCAAAAAAATCGATCGCTATGGTAAGCTTTGCCCTACCACTGATTCCCAGAACTACATGACACGCAGACGTTAACGCATCACCCTTTAAATGGGCCATGGCAGATAAGATCCGTTCCGCAGGGACAGAACTCATAAAGAATTGGATCGTCTCGCGTCCGGCCCAACGGGTTATTGTTTCAAACGGAAAAACGAGATCAAAATTGAGGGAAATTACCCTGGTTGTGAAAGGTAACCGAATAATGTGGGCCGTGTGAGACCCGTAACCCGATCCGGGGGCGAGCGGCGCGTTTCCCGGTATACAAGAGTCGGCCAGCTGCATGCGCTGAATGCTGAGCTTTGCGGTACAGATCGAAAGGTCTTCAGCGCAACATTGCCGTTTGTGTTTCCTTGGAAAGAGGTCCTATTATTAAGACTTCGCTGAAGTAATCAGAAGCTGGAGCCATTCGTGTCGGAAATCCGGAGTTTTTAAATTGCAACGCGAATCCCCCTGGCAACTCTCATAATAATGAGATTCCCATGGGGCATTTGAACTTTTAGGTCTACGCACCATTCTTTAGAATAAGCAGGCAGTTGGTTTGGAACGATGTTACATCTCAATTTAAGACGCATAGACTCTTCTCCTGGTTTTTTTTTAAAGAAAAAACGAGCGTCATTTTTGTACTTGACAAAATTAAATGTGATTGGCAACTATTTCTACGTAAGTTAAGAAGGAAGTTGGTGTATATCCAATAGTGTAATGATCGTCCATAATTCAAGAGCAATTGCCTTAAACCAGTACAGTAATAGAAACTTGAAAATAAATGTTGTATAGAGCAAAATACGTTTGTTTGCAAAATTGCTTGTCGTGATGCAGGCCCCTTGACTGTTCATCTCTTAGGATACGAGTGTTTTCAATAATTTAGACGTTATTACAATGTACAAGGTTAGGACTGAGCATTACCATTTGCCTAGCGGCGATCGAGAGGCATGACGTCGCTGATGACGTGGTCAGTCGACGTGGTCTGTCGCCGGGGATAATCGACTTGCGATACTTATTGTTTTGTAAACAGGGCCGGTTGGGGGATACTTTTCTTGGGACGACCTCAGTTAACAGGCCGATTGTTACGTGCACATCTGCTATTTTGGTTCTAGAGTTTGAAATAGGAAATGGATTGATTGAAATAATTCCTAAACAAGACCTGTGCCGTAGTCAATATGTTTTTAAAAGTATAAAGCGAACTTAAAGTTTAGGTTGAAAATCTACTTCAACACTTCGTGGCCTAAGGTAGAAGTCGATGACCTGTACAGTTTTGACTGATATTGTGTGCAGTTCAACTTGTAGAAGGATTACACAGAAAGTTTGAAGTTATTATCTTTACTTGCTTTTTTAGTTACAGATAATTAAACCTTGACAGTCACCGGTTCCTGAGAATTAAACCTTGAAAATGAGAAAAAAATCCGCCATCGTGTCCAAATGTCCAAGCTGTCAGCTCGTTGGATCCCGAAGCTCCTTGGACCTGATCAGAAACAGACTCGGCACAACCTTTCAAGGGGACAATGTTGCTATTCTTGAGTTCGTTCGTTCGATTTTTTTCGTACGATGGAATTTTTCCATTTTTGCATTTTCAAGGTTTCATTCTCAGGAACTTAATACAAATGCCTCTTTCTTAAATTATGAGGGTGTTAATATGTCAGTTTTGGCACAATCTGTTTCCATCTACGGCTTAAGTTGATGCCCCTGTGGCAGTCCATACAAAATGGCGCTAATTTTTTTACAAACAAAAGAAAGGTCTATTTCACTGCCAAGATAATTATGTATTTTAGAAATACGTCATCTTGTCACCAAGCCAATGGCATATGTCTCTGTGCAATGTGTGTTTACTAAGTGAAGAAAAAAACACAAGAAATCTTTTCCAGATGACGAAGGAGTTGCTCTGCGCTTCGCCTAAATGATTTATTTATTTTGCCAAAAGGCCTATAATTCATTTACAAATACACTTAATCGCTACCAGTGCGATATTTTTTTTTTTGCTTGTTTGTGTGGGGAGATTATTTCACGGATTGATAGCCCCGAAGCGACCGTATATTAGCCGTAATTGGATGGGCCGCGCTTCGCCAGTAAAGTCACCCCTACGAGCAACACGTGAAAACGCAGCAGCAATCGGCTTTATAATTGCGTTTACCGCCGCAGGTTTTTTCTTTCCTTTTGCGTGTGAAGATTTTTCCCGCATCAACCCGGCGGAAATTGAACTCCGTTGTTTGTGGATCAACAACGATACAGAAATATCACGGTGTACTTTTATATGTCAAAACACCTTCGTTTCTTAGTAATACACCTTTCGCCGTTGGGCATAATAATAAAATAACCGTTCTTTCGCCCACCAACACAAAAAAAACATGCATTGTGCCAGCTGACTTCGCCAAGCAATTTTCGACTGAAGCCGTTATGGCTTAATAAGTTGAAAGTCGTTCTTCATTCCTTTTTCCCCCAAGTTTTGTATATTTTCAGCAACTGGGCATAGAATAAAGCCAGCATTGACTCACATGCCGTGACATGAATCCAAAAATAATCAAATTTGGTTCTTTCTAATTTCATTTTCTATTCACAAGAGTGTAATTCTCGAGCTCTAGTTTTTCATCATTTTTTTTTGGCTTAGCCATCAGCACTTTGACATTTTTCAGTAGATACCATACGCCTTAAGCATATCTTACAATCAGGTTTTTCGTATTGGCAAAGAGTTGACAGTGATTGCTAAGTCCATTCCGATCGGCCTTAGGTATATTAATGTTACCTTTTTTATTTTTGAGAGCTCTGCAGGCGAAACTGCTGTTTTATCGCTGGCAATTACTTAGAATCCTACCCAAGTGAATTCATTTGGTAACAAATATTGTTTTTATGCTGGAAAACCTCACTAGGTTTTGGTCTTTTGGGGCGCCATTCGAGAAAGACATGAAGTAGTCGGACTATGATCGCTTAACTTATGAGCTTTATAATAATGACTCGTATAAATATGAGAATAATAATGTGCTTGTTTTGACTTTGTGACCGAAAAGATATTATGAATTGGAATAAAGATGTTCTTCCCATTCATAAATAAGTCAAAAATTCGCAAATATCCAACGATTTTGTGTAATTAGTTTACTCTATGTTTTGTGAAACATTCCTCTGGCCATGTCTATGGTATGTGCCTCGCGCGCGTAGTGCTAAACAAATCTCCTTATATGGAAATTGGCGCGCGCGGCGCGCACTACGCGAATGTAGCGCAGAACGCAGCGGTGTTTCACCGGCGGTTTAAAACCACCCACGCGACGGGCTGTCGACCAATAGCAATAGGTAAACTGTCTCAGGTATTTGTGAATAATAACTAAATAAAACCGCTACATCAAACACACGAACATTTCAACCAACAAAATGGGCATAGGGGCCTACGTCGACTTATGAGAGCAAAGGTGTTTCGCTCTCACACATAGAGTCAACATCTCGCTGATGCTTCGTGAAATAATACTCAGACATTTTCGTTACATTGACAGGTAGGGGTTTAGGCCTATATTATATTACACGGGTTAAATTGCTGGAAGTGAAACAAAACTGAAACGTGAGGTATAGATCAACCGTGACCCGTTCCCTTTACTCCTCTCAAAAAAAAAATACTGTAGTTGAAGATAGTCTGGTTCGACTTATCACTAGGATCATTGGTGTAACTGAAAAATCAGTCCGCGTAACTACAGTTTTGTCAGAATTATTAAATGGAAAAATCTACGATGATTGAGTCAGTGTTGTTATACTCGTACTCGTACAGGAGTAATTTTTTTGGTATACTCGTACTGATACTCATGAAAATGTACTCGTACTCGTATATTCGCAAGATAAAAACGATTACCCGTACTTGTACTCGTACTCATGACAAACTACTCTTACTCGTATACTCGCACTCTTGCAGACGCTCTCCCGCAAGAATTTAGAAAAAAAATTAAGAGCAACTTGTACTGAAACAAATCCCAGTTTGTATACTGTTTACCCTCTGTATTTTGTTTAATGCCTAGTTTTACCGCCAAAAGCCCTTATAAACACGTGACACGTTGAAATTTGCTCCCTCTTGTGAAAAGTACTCATACTCGTATACTCAAGCACATTTTTTGATACTCATACTCGTACTCGTGAGAAAGAATTGTATTGTACTCGCACTCGTCCTCTTGACAATACTCGTATATACTCGTGGACACGTACACGACTACGACACCTAAGTGAGTAACATACCTACCTGGTTTTCTAAACCAGTCAGTATTTCGACTTTTATAAATATTGTGAGACTTTTAGTCAATCAGTTGATCTTTAATAATGCACAGACCCCGACATTAAATTGTGACACCAAACAATTTGTTGTGTAAATTTGACAGATTTGACGCAAACAAGACTATAGCCCGTGTTTGTTTCTGCCTTTCGGGTTGTGCATATTATAGATTTAAAGCTTGAATGAGATCCTTAAACCCTCAACTCACCCCTTGTCAGACGAAAATGTAGAGGCGATCTTCCGAGCTTTCTGCGCGATGAAGCGAGTGCGGCTCGAACAGGCCAACCGTCGCAGACCGGTATGCAGTCGCGATCGCACGCTTGCACGCTCCGTGATACAGCCAACTTGAGTGAAACTACTTGATTTTTGCTTAATGCGTTGCGGCGCATTAACTCCACTTTTATATATCGCACGTGTGCTCATTACTAGATTTCACCTGCCTCCAGGAGGTCGCACGGTGATTGGTCAAGACACAGCATCACGTGATGCGTATACTTACGCAGCTGTGGACCTTTCCTGCGTCACCGCCATGGTGTCTTGTCAAGCTTTGGTAAGGCGTGTATTCGCTGTCACAGTTGCAAAACAAGAGAAACTCCACAAAAGTTTATGTTGAAAAAAACAGTGTATCAGAAAAAAAGTGAATGTAAAGAAAAAGAGCATGATATAGCTCTTTGTGATGTGAAACCCAAAATCTAGAGAGACTTTACGAGATTTCCTCGAAACCAGATTACATTCCGGAATCAACGTCATTGACTGAAACCCCACACCGAGGCGGCTTAGGCAATTGCGCCTACACCCTCTGATAATTACACGCACTACTTTATCTAAATTTGATCCAAGTTGTAAACACACTCGATATAGGAGATCATCAACTAATTTTCCGGACGACGTTATACTTTTTTATTCGTGGACAAGCCTGTTTGGAATTTTGTAAAATGATATCTAGTGGTGAAAGTATGATTAGAAATCGGATAACTCATCAAATTACATTGTCGTGCTTTTTGGGGGCCGTTATTTTTGTTCGCGTGCGAGCCAGAATCGCCAATTTCCTGTTGCTGAAGATACCAATTTATAGTACAATGTATTTCCATGGTTGGTTTTGAACTGTATAACATACATCCCATAGCCAGCCATTTTTTTCTCAGTTTTCATAAATAAGACGGACCTGATTTGGCGTTAGGGGGCGCTCTTTCCCTCCTCCCTCGTCGTCACTCCTCTGATTTAAGAATCAACCAAAAATCAACACCTTTTAGGGGGAAAGGAGGGCATTGCCCCAGATAGCCCCCTCCTGGAACCGCTAGTAGTCACACGTTATAAGTTATAATCACTTAAGTCGAAATTGCAATAAATCCTTCAACATTTCTTCAAACACTGGCAGTATGCAGGTACATAAACATTGCTAACGAAAGGACGAGAGCAAACTGTATACAACATTAAAAAGAAGCCTCTTTCTTGTTTCCTTTTGTATTCAAAAATTAAAATTCCCTTTAAATTAGTGGCCTACATCAGTTACATTAGTTGACATCAACAAAAAAAAATTGTTTGTGTTTTGTAAAATTACATTTGATTCGGTCAGCCAATGTCAAAAAGAAAGACATTTCACTCGCCCGCCATTCGTTGCTGGTTTTCTTTGTTTTGTTTATTTGGACAGTTGTTTTTAAAAAGCCATGAAAGGTTCCTCACTTGCATATCCCTCCGCCATGGCCGATAAGAACGTCATCAATTTTTAAACCGGAAAAAACTGCAACTTCCTATTTTTATTTTCATTAACCTTTGCCGTTCTTTAAACCTTTCCCTCATTAATCTATTCTAGGCATGCATAGGCCAGGTACCGTAGATTTTCGCTCGTTACTTTGCTAATGAGGTGTTTAACAACATCTAAGGCCTTTTGCGTGGTTCCAAAATATTAACGGTACGGTCTGTACGTACGTGTCTTCAGTTGACAAGCTATATTAATTCCTTCGAACTATCAGCACAAAATTGAATCGAAATTTGAATAAAACCCAATGATGTGGTCACAAACCCAATTTTTGTTTCTTACATTTTTTATGCCTTATCAGACTGTACAGGTGAGCCTTCTGGTATCGTGATGCCAGGACGAGTAAGCGGCCCCTGCTCCTCAGAGATTTCATTGGTCAATACGAGCGCGCGCGCGACACGCAAGACCGTGGCGTACGCGCGCTAATATTCAAATTAACTTGACCCCGCACCAGAGGTCATCACGGCAGAAAGCTCATTGCATGCTAGCCATTCTCTGACTCTCTTAGCTGAAATCAACTGGACCAATGTCGTTTTAGTTTGTCGTTACTGTCTGAACTGTCGCAATCAAAAACTCAGATAAACCTTCAAAATAATTTTTCGAAATGCTCGCCTTCTTATTATTGCTGCATTATGTGAATATAATACATGTGTGAATTCAAAATATATGTACTGAGAAATAAAGCTTATTAGGCCTACCACGATAATAGTTGTCGCACATAATGAATACCGTTTGTTGTTCACTTTTGTGTCCTGTCCAGACGGTTCCTTATACACGTTTTAATTTGGATTTGTACATTCAATAACACTTTATAAAATGCAAGTAACCGTCTGCTAAACGTGTGTAACTGATTTCCTCTTGTTTCCAATCTGTTTAATACTCTTTACTGATATTTCTAAATGTCGCACAATATTTACAAATCGGACAATACACATTTCTAATAGAGGTCGCCCTATATCCTTACACGAATCACAAAATAATGCAAAACAGTACAATATTGATAGAGGGCGCCCTGGGCCTATACGCAACGTACATAGATCGATATTACTAAAATCAGTTATTTGCACACACGATAAGTTACGTTCGCGGAATGTTTCTAATGTAGGCCTATGGACCTTGTTCACGAAGAAGCCATTTTTGGTCGTGTTCCCTGAACGTATTTGATAAATTGTGAACTGTTGAATGGGATGCATGGTGCCAGACTATTTATGCATTGTAGCCTCACTTTCAATTTTTTTTTTCAAATGTGGCTTAAAACAGTAGGGTTTGTTTAATCACAAAGTTTTAATTATTCATCAGAGCAGATTGGTGTTAATTAGTAATTAACTGTATTTCATTGCTCTCATTTCTCTTCGCAAGTTCCAAAAACGATGATTTTACCTCGCTTTCAATAATTTAATATGGCCGATTCGTGAATAAAGCATACACATTAATACGTTAAGCAGCTCAATACAGTGCAAGGCAAGCTTAAAGTCGCTTTGTTAAAAAAAAATCCTAATTTTTGATGAATTTACAAAACAAATTTAGAACCCAACAATTTTCAAATTAACCATCTCGAGCCGTGACTCCTTCCTATGAGTCCCATAAAATAAAGAGAAAAATCTTATCTTCCAAATTCAAAGTAATTTGCAGATGGGTTGTAGAGCTAGAGCGCCGTAGAACTAGGTATAGCCGTTGTGCACATAGGCCTACTAAATTTGTACACTTTTTTCTTGATGAAAATAATGGCAAGAATATCTTTGTTTTCTTAATGTGTATTTTAGAATCTCATGGAATTGGCATCTTGATAACATTCCTTTTCATCACTTACCGTAACTGCTGAAAATGTGTCAGGAACACTTTCTTACCAACACCAAATGTACCACAAAGCCATAGAGACTGGTTCCCGTCCCTCACACGTTATTAGCCAGAAAGGCCGGAAACCAGTCGCAAAGTCACTTCTATCGTGGCAATAGGTTTTGTTTTCAAAAAAACCCTTGAAACATACAAACAAAACAATATAATAGCCTGGTCCTGAATTAACAAATTCCAATTCCGAATTTCGTTTGCCCCCCCCCCCAAAAAAAATAATATAAATAAGAATAAATTAATAAAAATTACAAAAAAAAAATCAAGGACGATAAGGGGTGGGCACCCCCTCCCCAGGGTCGCCATCATCCTCGTCCTCATCCTCGTCCCGGTTGGGATCGTCGATGTAGATATCATTGATGCTGATCTGCGAGTACCGCACGGCCTCGTTCGGATGGAAGTACAACCTCGCTCTCTGGTAGATGACCCACGCTCCCAGCAGGATGCTGATGGTCACTAGGACCCCCATGACAACCAGGCCGGTCTTGGCTCTCGCTGTCAGGTCGCTCATCCTCTGTAACAGGGCGAGCAAATTTTAAAATGAGGCTTGATATACAGACATATTGATACGACGCCATTTTGAATTTTCCTCGTTCCCACCGTCCCATCCTAGGGGCTGGTGACAGGACGTGTAAATTCTTTGGGCTCTCATTGGTTAGATTTTTGTTTGACGGTGACCAGGGATCATTTGCACATGCGCACGATGCTTGGTCGTTATCATGGCGGTGATTTCCTTGGATGCTTGCGTTACATATATTTTGTGAAAAGAGTTGAGCCCTCGTTGGGGGCGTCCTACGCTTGGAGAGGGCGAGGGGTACGTGCAACGAATAGCCGACGCAAATATTGATCGGGTATATAGGTCTGCTTCCTCGAGCAGAGGACTGACTTTATTCAGGTAATAGCCGTTGAATGTGCGCTGGTTCAGAGAAATTGAAAAAAAAACCTTTATGAAAACGCCACAACTGCAGTTTTATGATCAATTCCTAATAATGGATGTATTTAGGTCCATATTTCAATTTCCCCCTAAAAAAAAAAATTTGTAAAATCCAAATGAACTATCTTGTAGATTAAAAAAAGAAAAGTAAATATAAAGAAACACCAACCTGTTTCGTCACTCCGCTGTTTCCTGAGAGGAACTGAACGATAGATGATGATTTGACCTCTGAACCCGGTGACGTCAGCAGTGCCTTTATCCTGGAAGTGTCGTTGACGCTAAGGTTGCCCACGATCATCTGGAATAGTCTGAAGAATGTACAAAATGAAGCCAAACGTTACAAAAAAAATGCGGGCAAGATTTATTTCTTGTTTTTGAAATAAATGTTGGGTGGGGGCTTATGTTGGGAGCTGAACCTGTTTTCAAGATTGAGAAGTGTTTTCACTTGTAAACAAAATACCTTAGCCTATAAAAATATTAACAGCCTTGTACGCCATAATTCGGACTTCCTTCTACATGTTTTCGTTGTTTTATTATTTTCATAAATTACTCTTTTATACGAATACACTATCCATTACTTCCGTCTATTCTCCTTGTGTTTTGTATTCGTCGTTTTCTGTTCCCTGATTGGCTCCAGTATAAAGGTTTTCCGTTCATTAAAAAGTACTTTGCAGGAAGTAGAGAGTGTATTAAAAATGAAAAAAATTAAAATGTTGATCTCAATATCTGTTCTCTTACCTCAGGCTTTCACTAGCAAACGCCGGGTAGCAGTGTTTGAGAATGTCGGCGGATCCTTCTAGGATCTAGAGAGTCAAAATTAAAACGAAGTCAGTTATCCAGAAAGGGGCCCAGTTTAAAAAAAAAAAACAAGGTTTCGTTTCTGATCAAATTTCGAAGACCTACATACACTAACATTTTTGGGATTTTTGTTCCATTGGTTATTGCTTTGAGATCGTGTGAATTATAAGGAATATGGAAATGAAGCGCAATTCAAAATGTCGGGGTTTTATTTGTCTTGACTGATTTTTTTTTTGGGGGGCGCTAAAATCTCTCTAAAACGCCGAGATCCACCCTGATATACCTACTGAATGCCCCTGAATAATTCTGAGGTAAACCAGACCAATATACATTTCTGTCAGATTAAATAAGGATAATTACTATGAATTTGAGCTATTGACCTTATGTTCAGCCGGTCCCGACATGAGATTGAGGGCAATCAGGTTTAGTTTCGTGCAAGGCATGTTGTTATATTTCAGGTCCGTGCAGAACATCTTGGACAGCGACTGGAGGAAAGACCCTTGGTCGGCGGAGGAAGTGATCTGAATGGGGAATTAAGAAATGAGAAAAAATGGCCACGTTTTACAAATTCACATCATACCATCATCATCATAATTGTCGCCAGCATCATCATTGTGAAGCGATGGCCTTGAATCCAGTCTGCAGAGGTTGTGATGCGTGTGTCCTTGGGCAAGACACTTAGTCATCACCATTTGCTTCTCCCCACCAAAGAATAAAGTGGGAGCTGCGGGCAGATACCCCGTCCATTGAGCGCCCTAACTGAGCACACGCTTTAGTATTTAAATTCAGTGACAAGTACAAGCTATACTAATGCGTATTACAGAAGAGCAAAGTCCTGTCCTCGACGAGGGCGCCCTGTGCAAGGGGTCTGTTGTACATGAATTAGCCGTTTGCGCCTGGAAAAGGGCAGCATTAAGATGTAGGCCTTCTCCATAGATGGCTGAGATGGCCGTAGTAATGTAGATGGCAATATGAGCAAGGATAACAATGATATTGTGTCTTGAGCACCAATAAATCATTTGCATTGCATCAATTTTGTAAGTGTGTGTTTTTGTTTGACAGGATTATGCATGGTAGATTGCTGAACTGTAAGTTACACACAACTTTAAAGATGCTTAATGCAAATTGGAAGAGTGAGTGAATAAGCATCACCTCCATGCACCATCACTACATCACCACCACACTAACCACTCTGATCAAAATAGGCCTACCTTTGAGCTATACCCTCCTTTGTCCGTGTCCGATGACAGACATCCCAAGCACGCGTTGGTGCTCCCAATCTCCCCTTTCTCCCCGGGCCCAGCACCCGCACCATCCGCGGCGAACCCGCACCCACTCAGCAGGCAGCACATCCGGACGATCCCCGGCCTCAACCCCTCCACGAAATTCCCCAGGATCTTGTTGATGAACGCATCCTTTTCCAGGCACCGCACCAAATTCTCCCCACCCTTCTTGCACTTGGCCGCGACGTCCCCGCTGATTTTCCTCTGGATCAGGCTGTCCGTGCGCACCGAGTCGAAGCTGGTGCTACCGGTCTTGCACTGGCTCAGAACCGAGGAGCTTGCGGTAGCCACGGGACCCTTGACGCGGTCCGGGGAGGCAGCCCCCTCGGAGTTCAGAGACGAAGACAGAGGACACAATATCAACTGCGTTTTGACTTTGGAATACTGCTGCAGCAATTTGAAGAACAGAAAACCGGGTTCCAAGGGCGCATCAGAAGGGGCTTCATTATTAATTGACGAAAAGGACGATCTACAGAGAGCTAAGAAAAGAAAGACGAAGACAGTATTGAAACGGAGACAAGAGAACAGTGAAGACGTCCACGTCAAGATGGCCGCCATCTTGGCCCAACTGATGCTAATGGAAAAACCTTTGACGCTTCTCTTTGACCTCCACACTGTGCCAACGTGAGCATCTGCATCATCGATTTTTTTTTCTTTCTCCCCCGCACTAACACACGGAGAGCCCGATAATCACATCACACGTCCTTCTTGGTGTGACTTTGATGCGACGGCTGTTCTGTGAAGCAGAAAATCTGTGACTGTTACATGTACTTGCAGAAAAGAACATGGGCCAAAGGCACTTGGGGAAAATCCATGGACTTGAATTATTTGATTAACTTAGAGTCGAAGCCTCGAGCTATTCACTCATGTATGCTTAACCATTATGCGCCGCAAATATGCGGAGGTCAAACTCTCTCCCATGATAGTAAATCAAATTACTAGGTAAATTAAATAGGCACGGTGTCATTATGAAATTTGGACTCCTGTGAAATTAGGTCTCTTTCATCTCAAGGAATCTAACCCTCACACGTGACCTGTCACTGCGCAATACAACAAAAAATAATGTGTCCTCCTTTTAACATAGAGACCATTTTCACACTACAAAGGCGATAAACTTAAAGGGTCTATGAAATGAATTTTTCTTAGGAACATAATTTGTGCAATTCTACTCCTCTTAAATGTATGAAAACTATTTGACATCCATTTTTGGTAAATTTTATCGAAAAGTGTACTTCTGAGGGCGCTGTTGCTGTGATGTATTTTCAGGAAGACACTGTTCAGTTTAGTTTTTTTTTTCTGTTAAAATTGTGTACCCCAAACTGTGCTCATTGAAAACATTTTTGAGAAAAGTTTGCTCATTCGCTTATACATGTACTGACACAACAATGAATCACCAAAGAAAAGAAAATTTAGGACAGCAAAATATCCAAAATTCTGGCGAAGTTTTGTGCTGAAATAGCTGTAACATTGAGGTTTCTGCCTGAAATGACACCGCACTTTTGCTCAATTTCCGTTTAGACTAAAAACCAAAAAGGGACCAAAATACCACTGAAAATTGCAAAACAAAAATTGAAAATTAGGTTAGATGTGATACAAAGGTAGGTGCATTTTCAAGGATTGCATATGGGCCCAGTGAATACAGGGAAAAAATGTACAAATTTATTACAAAAAAGAATGCCATGATTCGGGCTGTTCCTCTCTTTAACAAATATGTACTTTGGGGGACATTTCGTCATAGTTTATTAGGCCTAGATGATTGCATTTTATTTCAATAAACAAATAAAATATGTATATTGTATCCTTAACACACACAAAATCGTTGACTTAATGGGATTTTCGGAGAATTGTTCTTTCTGATTTTTTTGTTACACAATCAAACGAAACTGTCTCTCGTTTCAAATGTGTTTTTTTTCTCTTAGACTTCCAAAAAATCTTGTCAACTTGTCATTAAATGGCAACACCGCCCCCCCCCCCCGCTCGAAAATGTCATTTAACCACGCCTTTTATCATTGTTCTTGTGATTCTCTAAATTAATTTTTAAACATATACTGCATTAAATACAATATGGACATTAATTTTTGATACAGATTTTTATCATCGTACGACGAGCGTTTCTAAGTAAATGCAGTTACCTCCCCAGTGAAGAAAAGCCAGGTTTCTAAAAATTTAATATCTGCTTCTTTTCCGGAATAATAATAAGAATTGACTTCATATAAAATGTTGAGATTTTCACACTTTTACTTTTTGCCGCAGTGCTGCAAATTTTATGTTGGGAGCTAAAAATTTCTATTCATTGATGTCAACGATGCGTGCGATTTGATGGTAGCAACTGCACGGATTACTCATCGAACCGTGACATGCTGGCCCTCCGTTTTCACCTTTTTTCATTTAAATTTCCTTCGCAAAAATACATACAGGTATGACATTATATGTTTATGAATCTCTATATTTGTTGTAACATTATTTGAACATTACTTTATCGTACCAAAATTTTTGTTATCCTTTGTTTTACAATAATTATTTATTTTATTTAATAATTGCCGATGTCTTTCCAGGGGGGACATCGCCCCTCGATACAACAGCGACGTAAACAAGATGGCGGAGAACGTGAAAGTAGCGGTGCGAGTGCGACCATTCATATCCTTTTAAATACAGTTTATGTACTGATTTTGGTGTTGTGTGAATTAGTATTTTGTTAGTGTAGATGTCGGGGATGTCCTTGGACTTTTGGGTTAATGAAAGGTCTTTCGAAATTGTACAAAAATATGTTTCAAACAGAACTACTCAAACCACTAGCATGACTAGTCCGCCAATGCCGCGCCACGACACTGCACTGATCAGATCTCGGACTCAGTATTTTTTTTTGCATGCTGTGTGTTGCGTTTAGGCTTTAGCAATTCAGCAGGGCAGTGGATATTTGACCGTGAACCGGTCCCCGATTGTTTTCAGTATAGTATTCTACCGGCACGGCACTGAACATGCACAGTGAGTGTTTTTTGGGGGGACTAAACTTAGACATTTTTAGTGTGCCAAATCTTCGTCTGGTTCTGCACAGGGGGAAGGAATGTTGCATCCTGACGCCACTTCAGCGGTTGTGTACAAAGTCTATGGAGAGTCGGACATATTTTAAAACTAGGCCTACTCCTAACAAACTGAAAATGTTCATGTCTTTTCATCATATTTGCAATGACTGACCCTTATTGAGATGATAATATATGAAGAAAAAAGTGGCGTCAGGTTGCAACATTGAGAAAGAGTGTTGCAACCTGACGCTGTTTTCCTTATCATATGTCATCTCAATGAAGGTCAGTCATTGCAAAATTGATAATAAGACATGTATCCGGGACTGAGAAACATTTCCAATTTTGTTAGCAAATACTTTTTTCTTTGACTCTCCATAGACTTTGTACACAACTGCTGGAGTGGCGTCAGGTTGCAACATTCTTTTGCAACATTCTTTCCAGAAGATGAAATACTCTGAAGTTAAATGTATTGTCGGATGTGATTTAAAAAAATTTAAAAAAATAAAACAATACTTGGAGTTGTACATTCTAAGCCTCGGCCTTAATTTATTCACACAATGAGCGGGAGCTCAAGATGAAGGCCACCTGCATCATCAAGATGCACGGCAAGACGACGGAGATCAGCGACCCGGCCAACAAGCAGGGCGAACCCAAGAAGTTCACCTTTGACCAGTCCTACTGGTCACATGACGGGTACAAGGAAGGGCCCGATGGGTACCTGGAACCGGCCAGCACGAAGAGCCCCTATGCTGATCAGGTTCGTACCTTCGGTGCTTTTATTACGCAAGATTGACTGGCTGTGGCTGTTTGTGTAACTTGATACAGCTATGCTTTGACTGTAGGTGACTGATAAGCCACCTGTGCCTACCACTTGTCTGGTGTTGCCTGTTGACTGAATTTGACTAGTCACAGTGTTTGCTTGGAATTTTTACCGACTGTTGGTGAATAGCCTGTGTAAAAGGCATGGCAGGGGAAGTGGATGGAATGTTTTGACTGTCTGTGACTGTTAAGATAGCAATTCAAATTAACTCACACTTTAATCTTAAAGTATCAATTGCAATAAAGATGCACATTAGCTCAAAGAATTAAAATTTCACCTAGTCTAATTGTTATCATTTCATGGCAAATGCTTTTAAAAGCCCAAAACTGCGTATTTCAGAAAAAAAGCTGATAACGTGATCATTTTTTTGGTACATGAAACAGCGACAAGTCTTCAAGGACCTGGGCATCTCGGTGTTAGAGAATGCGTGGAAAGGCTACAACTGTTGCATGTTTGCCTACGGCCAGACGGGGAGCGGCAAGTCCTACTCTGTGGTGGGATACGGAGCGAACAGGGGTGAGACATGAAATGACACACAGTTTTACAATGAACTTCCATAACAAAAGTTACCATGAAGATGATATTTTAAACATAGACTCACAAAAAATGATTCATTGGGATTCAAGGAAATTATTTTATAACTCCCTCGTTTTTTTTCTACTTTATACATTTTAGGGATTGTACCCGAAACCTGTGAGAAGCTTTTCCAAGGAATTGATGAGAACGTGAAGACTGCTGACAAGTCTAGGGAACAAGAATACCAGGTTTGTTACACATTGCATTCCCACAAAGAGTGGTATCGGATAGATCGGAAATTCGCGGTGAAGGTGTGCTGTGCGTTGCATCCTGGGACAGTTTGCGCAATGAAAGGGGATTTTGTGCAGTGCAAGCTGTCCCACAATGCATCATAACATATACCTGCTATCCGTATAATGGTCTGCGCAGAGAATAAATTAATTGTAATCAAGGTGTCAACAATCAAATTAAAGCCCATTAATAGTAGTTTAGTCTCAGTCAAGTAACCAGCTATTCAGATTAATTGTGACAAAGGATTTTGCTTTGAAAATGTTCATCCCTGACATGCGTTTTGACTTGTGATCAACTTATGATTTGACTTGTGATTGACTTGTGATTGACTTGTGATTGACTTGCGATTTGTTGTGCGATTTAACTTGTGATAGACTTGTGATTAGAATTAGAAATGTGATTTGAACTGTAACTTCACTTGTGATTTGACCTGTGATTTGTGATTTGACTTGTAACTTGACTTGTGATTTGACCTGTGATTTGTTTTATGATTTGACTTGTGATTTGTCGTTATGATTGACTTGTGATTAGACTTGTGATTTTAATCGTGATTTGACTTGTGATTTACTTGGGATTTGACTTGTGATTTGCCTTGTTATCAACTTACACATGTAGGGCTGACTTGTGATTTGACTATTTATGAGATAGTTGTGATTGACTTGTAATTGACTTATAATTGACTTGTGATTTGACTTGTAAATTGACTTTCATTGAACTTCAGTCCACAGATACTGGAATTTGTATCATTGTGGAGTCATTTCTTCGTTCTTGTGTACTAAAAGTTTAGAGTTTGAAAGAGTAGTTTCTAAATGCTCCTATTTTAACCAGAATTAATTTCCTGGGCTGAAATTCGGACTTAATATCCCTTACATGAAATACTTCAATTTGCGACATATCAACACACCTTGGAAATTCCTAGTTTTTTAGTAAAATCCATATGTATATTTCGTGATAACCTTGTGGAGACGTACTCATCTATAGAAGTTGCCTTGTGGAGACGTTTTCATTCTTTTGTTCCCTATTGTGCACATGTCTCCACAGGGTACCGTGTACCAGATCACATCTGTTTATACTTGCAATGTGAGAATGTGTTTCAGAGTCACATCATAGGCAGTCACATCAAATAATTGCATACGTCTTTTCTCTTCATGAATTCAACTCCTTTTTTTCCCTGTCTAAATACATCCTTGTTTTAGGTGTTTGTGAGCATGCTGGAGATCTACAATGAGCAGGTCCGGGACCTCCTGAACCCGAGCAGCTTCAAGGTCAAGGGAGGGTTAAAGGTCAGGGAGCACCCACAGAAAGGGTTTTATGGTGAGTGTTGAAAAAGAACAGACATGGCTATTTCTAGACTTTAGTAGGCGAGGCTTACCGAGAAAGCACGGACAAGTATTGGCATTTCACAGTTTCTCACACCAATAATGGGATACTGCCAACATACGGATGGATAGCTCAGTTGGAAGGGCACCGGAACGGCAATCCGGTGGTAGCAGGTTCAATCCCCGCCGGTTCATTTTCCTTGTTCAATTTTTTAAAAAGTCGGGATTGATGTCATTGAAAACGTTTTCACTGATGAATATAAATATCACTTAAATAAATATCCGGTATCTTATCAAAGTATTACCAGTGCCAGCTATTAAAGAAAGTAGAATAAGATGAAAAATCCAAGGGTTATGTGGTGAAAAGTACTTAGGATATTTTAGCTAATTTGAATCTGGAATAATGCGTTTAGAATGCTGTATTTTGTTGTGAACAGTGGAATCGCAGAGCATCTTCCCCGTGAAGAGTTACGATGACATCAACGGGCGGATAAACGAGGGAACGCGGAACAGAACCATCGCGTCCACCAACATGAACGCAACTAGCAGGTATAAAGCTTGTAATCCGTAAACACATCACCCCTCTCCCCTAACGTTAAGGGTTAGTTCTTGCCTTCAAACTACCGATCAGAAAAAAAATTGTGACAATTTCAGACTTAGGTGAGGCTGCACACAAATTCCTACTAACAGAGATTTGTTTTCTCTTTCTATCATGCTTATTTTGCAGTCGGGCACACACCATCGTCTCCATCAAATTTGTACAAAAGGGTAAAAACGACACCGGACAGAACATGACCAAGACATCCATCATCAATCTGGTAGACTTGGCGGGAAGGTGAGACTGAAAAATATAATTATAATCTGCATTATTCTTATTAGCTGTTCCCAATTTCAATCATTTTATCATTTTTTTTAACATCCAATAGACAATCAAAAACATTTTAGGAATAGCTTTGGGGTTGTTCAGTAACAACCACAATCTCTATTTTTTTAAAAAAGTTTTTGTTTAATTACTCATTGCGAGAACATTGTAACTAGAGTTGCCATCAAGCCTGAAGCTGAAGCTTTTTCAAAAGCACCGTGAAAACGGCATTGATTTTTCGTTGTCAGTCCCCTACTTTTGACCTTACTTGAGTTTCAAGTCGTTGTTGACTTGTTACAGACCATCACATCTCTACTTAAAACCCATGTTACTATGCAAGTGTTAAAAGAAATCTAACAATCACTTCAGTTATCAGATTTCATATTTACGGTGTTGTAGTCAAGTTGAACACAGTCAAATCACAAGTCAGTCACAAGTCTGTCACAAGTCAATCACAAGTAAGATCACAAGTCAGTCACAAGTCAGTCACAAGTAAGATCACCAGTCAGTCACAAGTCAGTCACAAGTTAGGTCACAAGTCAGTCACAAGTAAGGTCACAAGTAAGGTCACAGGTGAGTCACAAGTCAGATCACAAGTTGGTCACAAGCCAGTCACAAGCAAGGTCACAAGTCAGTCACAAGTCAGATCACAAGTCGGTCACAAGTAAGGTCACAAGTCAGTCACAAGTAAGTCACAGGTCAGTCACAAGTCAGTCACAAGTCAGTCTAGAGCAATCACAGGTAAGTCACAGGTAACATCACAAGTCAGTCACAAGTAAGATCACAAGTCAGTCACAAGAAATGTCACAAGTCTGTCACAAGCAAGGTCACAGGTCAGTCACAAGCAAGGTCACAAGCAAGGTCACAAGTCAGTCACAAGAAATGTCACAAGTCTGTCACAAGCAAGGTCACAAGTCAGTCACAAGTAAAGTCACAAGTCAGTCTAAAGGGAGGTCACAGATAAGTCACAAGTAAGGTCACAAGTCAGTCACAAGTAAGGTCACAAGTCAGTCACAAGCATGGTCACAAGTCAGTCACAAGTAATAGGGGATAAGCCGTGCCAAAGGAATGTCTTTTTCACAGATCATTTGAATAGCTTGTGACTTGATTTCTGAATGGATGACTTGTGATTGACTTGTGAGGACTTGTGATGGACTGACTACAATGCTGCTTTCATGAGAACTTGTCATGTCCAACACACTTTTTGTCAGTTCAACAACCCCTTGCGTAACTACGTTTCAAGTGAATTTTCGTTTCCCCCTGTTGTCCGTAGCGAGCGGGTTGACAGCACAGGAGCCACCGGTGACCGGCTGAAGGAAGGCGCGGCCATCAACCAGTCCCTGTCGTCGCTGGGGAACGTCATCAAGGCGTTGGCTGACCAGGGAATGGGAAAGAAATCAGCAAGAGGCAAGTTATGACACAACATTTTGATGATCGCCGGTTTACACATAGGGGGCAGTTTCACAGTGTGTGGGGAGGGGGTAGTTATCCCCTCCGCCAAAAAATATACCCCTAAGACATATGAATTATTTGGGTTTTTTAATGAAATTCTACAAAACCTCATAAAATTATTCTTACCATTGCACTCCCAAATATTCATTATTTGTGTAATAGTTCACTTAAGAAGTAACTAAAACCAGTTTTTAAAGGTAAAAATTGATTGTACACCAAAGATAAAAAGTGTTGTTCCTTTTTCCGAACAGTGCCTTACCGCGACTCCAAACTCACCATGTTACTTAAAAACGCCTTGGGCGGTAACAGCAAAACTATCATGGTAAGTAACATCCCTTCGTCTTAACGGTAGAGTAGGCCAATTTCAATTTGTGTATTTTCTTTCGTTTGAAGCAACAAAAGTGCTAAGAACCTATAAAGACGGGTGTTTAACAACTAACTGATGAAGCGTCTGTGAATGCTGTATATATTTTGAGAAAAGACAATATTCTGGATTTCGATTTTAGTTCAAAATTTGCGGAGTCTTGACCCAATCCCGAAATCGGCATTCGGGACATGATTCTCATTAAGCTGATTGTTGCTACATGATGTCACACACTGAACTGACGAATCTCGCTAATAATCGCAACCGCGCACGTGTGCTTCGTGTCAAAGCGCTTACACCCATTCACGGATTTGCCCAATTACAAACAAACTGCAAATGGAAATATCCAAAAATGTGTCACTTGACACATCTTTATGAGTGAACTATTTTTTATTGTATCCATTTCCTTTAAAGGGAATGTACATCATTGGCTTTTGCTGTAATTTTCAGTAATGAACAATATGAGGGGTTAGTATAATAGATCAAATATTGTTACACTGACATGTTTGAAGTTTTGTGTTCAAAAATGCTGGAAAAACCAAGAAAACTAAAATGTTCAAGTAGTCTGGTTGTCTGACTCCACTAAAGATGATATGGATCAATTCATAGATGCCGGAAAACTGTAAGGTAAGGGAACCAGTCTAGCTGGCCTGCATCCGTTCATGAACATGTAACCAATAGCAAACAAAATTTGGACTGAACAAATTGGTAAATTTGGAGCAGTAGTTGAAAAATAGTTAGGTTTTTCCTACAGTGGTCGGCCGACCACCGTTGGAAATTTACAATAAAATACCACTTTTCTTGAAAATGACTTCACACCAGGTGCCATAATTTTACAAGATGCTTAAGACCGTAATTTACCAACATCTTAGTAAGGTAATTTGTAAAAATTTGGTATTTTGTTTTTTCGATGTTTGCAAATGTTGTATATTCCCTTTAAAAAGCAGTTTGTTCTCACATTTTATGTAGATTGCTGCCCTAAGCCCAGCGGACATCAACTATGACGAAACATTGTCAACCCTCAGATACGGTAAGACACTCACAGATTTGTAAATTTCTGACTCTTTAACTCCCAGTTAAAATTGAGCAGAATTGTCAACTCATTAGCGTAATGGCAGGATTGAGTGAAGACAAACACCCTAAATCTCCCCTCCATCTCTGACTACGTATGTTTCAAATGATAATTTTATCATTTGCACTGATATTAATTTCAGCCGACCGAGCCAAGGCGATCAGGACCATAGCCGTGGTGAACGAGAGCCCGACGGAGAAACTGATCCGTGAACTGAAGGAAGAGAACGCTCGTCTGTTGCTGGAGCTACAGGGGAAGGGAGGAGGGGGACAGGCTGCTGTCATGCAGGGTGTACCTGAAGAAGGTATGTGGTTGGATTGATAGCGTTTGCTCGACCTAACTGAGCCTAATACAACTGAACCTTACCCAACTCAACCCACCCAACTCTACTAAGTCTACTCAACTTAGTCACCCGTAATTCAATACAAATGAACAGAAATCATCACAACCCAACCCAACCAAGCTCAACCAACCTAACCCAACCCAGCCCAGCCCAGCCCAACCCAACCCATTCCACCCCAACCCACCTGAAACCACCCCAGCCCAAACCAACCTCAACCCACCCCAACCCATCCCAATCCATCCCAACCCTATCCAACCCAACCCAACCCATCCCAACCCAACCCAACCAAGCTAAATCCAGCAGGACCAAGCTCAACTAACCTAACCCGACCCAACCAAACCAACCAACCCAACCCAACCCAGTCCAACCCAACCCATTTCACCGCAACCCATTCCACCCCAACCCACCTGAAACCACCCCAGCCCAACCCAACCTCAACCCATCCCAACCCTATCCAACCCAACCCAACCCAACCCAACCAAGCTAAATCCAGCAGAACCAAGCTCAACCAACCTAACCCAAATCAACCAACCCAACCCAACCCAGCGCAGCCCATCCCAACTCAACCCAACCCATTCCACCCCAACCCACCTGAAACCACCCCAGCCCAAACCCACCCAACCCACCCCAACCCATCCCAACCCTATCCAACCCAACCCAACCCTAGCCCAATCCAACATAGCCCACGTGCCAGTTTTTCTTTCCACTTATTTCAAGAATCCCTACACACCAGAGAATTGCTTCACCTTGACAGCAACATTCCCATTTTTAGTGGCCCATTTTGTTACTGTAATACAATAATCCCTACACAACAGCAAGAGTCACAACCTGGGCGTACTGTCCAGTAACACATTCCTCATCTCGATCCCCTTTACCCTTTTATCCTGCATCACCAAACAGAGGTAGAGGGACTGAAAAAAGAACTGGAGCTGCAAATGCAGAGGAACCAGAGCGAGATGGACTCCATGAAGCAATCATGGGAGCAGAGACTCAAGGAAGTCCAGTCAGTGCAAGAGGTAAGAACTACACGCGACAAAAACGGTGTCAGAAGTGGGATCACAATAGTACAGTAATTTGGAGGTGCCTTTATTTCCAGGTTTTCTGTCTCCATCGAGCAAGGCTTAAAAATGCATTTGAAGTGCCTTGCAGTAGATTTACTGTTGAGAAGAAAGACTCAAAAATGTGTATCTGGTATCTGATAGGGAAGGTCAATGCAAGGGCTCGAGAACTTTGGTGTCAGAATTTGGATTAGCAGTTTATCTTAGACTCTCGTAAACAATCGCCCTTCCTTTTTATTTCTCGCTCAGGAAAAATTGGCAAAGGAAATCAAAAAGAGGGAAGAGATGAAAGTCACACCGCATTTCTGGAACTTGAACGAAGATCCAGCACTGACTGGGATGATCGTCCACTTCACACACTCCGGTAAGTACTTAGTGGTTTTCAAGTTGAAATTCAAGAAGTAGAAATACTCAGAATCAATTCAATATTCATGTTTATGGTTGTCACAAATTTCACATTGTGTATTCATTTTGTTTTCAGGGGTGACGAGGGTCGGAAATCAGAAAGCGGAAACTACACCAGAAATCATGTTGACGGGACTCAGGTGAGAAATTATATGCTGAATGTAATTTGTTTGCACTACCATTGTTGGCACAGGAATTAAGTACTTTTTGCTGTTGGTGATCCTTCAAAGAATTCTAAGACTTCTAACAAGTTGCATAATTGTGTTTTTTCAGTGTACAGAAGGAACACGCTACCATCACGAATACGAAGGGAGTGTGTGTCCTGCAGCCCTGCCCTGGAGCTAAGGTGCTACTGAACGGTCAAGACCTCATTGACAAGGCTGAACTGCATCACAATGACAGGTGAGTCTGTCTGACCCGACCTGACCTGACTTGACCTGTTGTGACCTGACTTGACCCGCCCTGTGCCAACCTGTGCCAACCCATCTGACATCACTAAAGTGAACTAAGCTGTTGTGACATGATTCAAACTCAACCGACCTGGCCCAACCTGCCCCTACCTGACTCATGCCTGACCCCATCTGACCCAACCTGGCCCATCCAAACCCAACACTGGCTTTATTGGTTTCAGCTGAATACACCTGACCTGACCTGACCTGAGTTGACCTCACTTGACCCAATCTGACCCTGGCAGACCTGATCTGAGTTGACCTCACTTGACCCAATCTGACCCTGGCAGACCTGACCTGTACTGACCTTTTTTGACCTCTTTTGACCCGAGTTGACCTATTCTAACCTGGTTTGACCTCACTTGACTTGATCTTGGTTAATCTGACCTGAGCAGATTTGGCTGTAGTTGACCTGACTTGAATTGGCCTGACCTAGCTTGACTAGAACTTAACTGACCTAACCTGACCTAAATAAACTAAACACGAAGCATCGAGTCTTAAGCTGACCTGAGCAGATTTGACTTTAGTTGACCTGACTTGAATTGGCCTGACCCAGCTTGACTAGAATTTACCTGACCTAACTTGTCCTAACCTGACCTAAATAAACTAAACACGAAGCCATTGAGTCTTAAGCAAAGTCAAGTGGAAATGTCAAAGGAAACTCATTTCATGGAAAACATTCTCGCTGTCAAGCCAGAACTGAAACCTTACACCCTCACAACAGCTCAAGCAGGATTCGAACCCCCTGCACGGAGTTGGAAGGCATCAGAAAGTTTCACTGTGCCGACATCTGCTTGACCGTTTTGTCCTTTTTCTTCAGAATCATGTTTGGTTCCAGCCACCTGTACGTCTTTCACCACCCGCAAGATCTGGCCAAAAATCAGAAAGCTGGAAAGAAAGAGGAGAAAGTAACCTACGACACCGCGCAGGAAGAGATCGCGGCCAACTCGGGATTCGACATGAAGAAGGGACCGGACAAATCTAAAGGTTTGTGGCTCACGAACTTTTTTTCTCATTCATTTATCATTTTGGCAAAAATAAAAGGCGCGATTTGAGGTCTCAAAAGTACAGCTCAAATACACTAGGTGGATTGTTTTTAAACTCTCCAAATTTATAAAAGGCATCAGTTTAATGTTGGTCTTTTAGATGCTGAGAAAAAAATCTTCGGGAAAATTGTTTAGGCGTATCTCTTGAAAATCAACAAAGCATACTCTTCGAAATTATGTCCACTTACCCCATCTTTGCTAGAACTTCAAATAATGATGAAAACTAAAAATATAGTTAGACGAAGAAAAGAAATTCTTATGAATAGGTGAATTTTTGGTGTAAACAGTAGTAGTAAAGTCTGTCATGAGCCAATGTGTCCCACCAGGCCGGCTTTAGCTCCGGTTTCAGTGGCATGAAACGACCGAGAATATTTCTATTCCCCCTGGATGGGATGCCAGTCCATCGCAGGTTACTCCCCAGCTAATGCCAGTACCCATTTATACTCCTGAGTGGAGAGAGGCAAGTAAGGGTGAGGTGGCTTGCCCATGGACACAACATATGGCCAGCAGTTGGATTCGAACCTCTGATCGTGAGTCACAAACCCTAACTACTAAGCCACACTCCCCACAAATTTGGGGTGTAAGTTAACCATTTTTCAGTGCTCCCGTCATTTCATTCTTGCAGAGTTTTCGAATCTTATTCTTATATATTTTTCCCCTGCAGATGATCTATTGCTGCAAGAGGAGCTAGTCCAGCTGATGCCCATGGTCAACGAAGCCAACGCGATGAGCGAAGAACTCAAGAAGGGCGTGCGATTTGAAATCGTCCTGATCTCACCGCAGGCTAGGGGCAAGATTCACGGCCGCACACAGGTATGTTCATTTATTCATATCCGAGAGATGATGACACAGAATGTTATGGAGGAAACCCAGGGCACTGTTGGTAGTGAACCACCGTTCTCTGTGCATGATTTATGAGGATGTATGTGTTGTCGAACTTTGCCAGGGGATCATGGTACTTGTGTCCCCGGGCTTGACACTTTACCTCAATTGAGCATTTACAACCAGAACTGTGAAGGCAGAGAATAGGACTCATTAAGTTTGTCTAACTGTAACAGGGCATCACTGCACTTGTGTCCCCAGGCTTGACACTTTACCACAATTGAACGTTTCCACCCAGGACTACTGGGTATCTGTGAAGGTATAGAGAATAGGACATGCACGTGGATGCATGTTTTGTCTAACTGTAACAGGGCATCACTGCGCTTGTGTCCCCAGGCTTGACACTTTACCACAATTGAACGTTTCCACCAAGGAATACTGGGTATCTGTGAGGGTAGAGAATAAGACTCACAAGTGGATTTATGTTTTGTCTGACTGTAACAGGGCATCACTGCGCTTGTGTCCCCAGGCTTGACACTTTACCACAATTGAACGTTTCCACCCAGGACTACTGGGTATCTGTGAAGGTAGAGAATAGGATTAAAAGTGGATGCATGTGTTGTCTAACTGTACCAGGAGATCATAGCGCACGTGTCCCCAGGCTTGACACTTTACCACAATTGATCATTCCCACACAGCAATACAAATGAGTATCTGTATAGGTAGAGAATAGGACTCATAAGTGGATGCATGTGTTGGTTAACTGTACCAGGAGATCATAGCACTTGTGTCCCCAAGCAAGTCACTTTACCACAATTGATCACTTTTCACCCATGAGAACAAATGGGTATCTGTGAAGGTAGAGAATAGGACTCGTACGTGGATGCACATGTTGTCTAACTGTACCAAGGGATCGTGGCGCTTGTGTCACCAGGCAAGACACTTGACCTCAATTGATCTTTTTCACTCATCACTACAAATAGGTATCTGTGAAGGTAGAGAATAGGACTCTTGAGTGGACGCATACGTTGTCTAGCTGTACAACAGGATTATAGCACTTGTGTCACTGGGCAAGACACTTTACCACAATTTATCAGTTCTACCCAGGACTACAATCGGATGTTGTTGTTCTCAAGCGTTGTCCTGCAGACAACAGGTAATCAATGTGAAAGGCTTTGGACTATTTGTGGTCAATTATTACTATTTTTCCGTTTCTTTAGTTGGCAGTTCTGATGCGCTGCAACAACAATGACAACGAGTTTCTCTGGGATAGGAACAAGTTCCTGAACCGCAAGTACCTCATGCAGGAGATGTACCAGAATTTTGTGGACGGAGACACAGACTGGGACAGGGAAAAGGTGTGGACATTTTGTCTAAACATACCCATTTCATACCCACTTGCACCTTTAGCCCATAAGCACCTTTAACCCATTAGTACCTGTATTACATTGTATTACATTATATTACATTGTATTACATTGTATTACATTGTATTTATACCTTGATGAAACAGTGAAACCAATCAGTGTCTTGGCAGTTTGGGGCAATACAGGGAGTAGCAGACAAGGCGGGATTGGGCAGCACAGGGACTAGTGGGTTAACAAGGGTCAAAAACACCCATTTTATAAATCATTTGCCTAGTTTCTCCCCTCCCATAGAACGAATATCCCTTCTGAGAGCCCGTGGAATTTAAGGTCATGATTGGCTGCACCCACATCTTCCTGTACAACCTAGGATAATGGGTGGCAAAGACGCCCATTTGTATGAACCATTCACCCATTTGCCCCCCTAACTAGGACAAAGATCCCATCTGGGCTCCCCAGACTCCAAAGTCATGATCAGCTGCACCAACCACTACCCCTAGTCTCTGGGATAATGGGTCTAAAAAAAAACACCCATGCGACACCCAGTCGGGCTGACGGGTACCAAACTTGCCAAACTAGGTTAAAAACACCCATTTCATTAACTATTGCCCATTTGCTGAATCCTTCTCGTTTGGACAAAGACCCCTTCTTTGAAACCCTGGACTTAAAAGTCATGATTGGCTACACCCATGTCTACCTCCAGAAGCTAGACTTATGGGTGCAAAAGATGCCCATGTGGACACCCAGTTGGGCTAACGGTGCCATACTTGCCTAAAAGGGGTCAAAAACACCCATTTCATTAAGTTTTTGCTCATTTGCAAATGGGTACAAAAGATGCCCATGTGGACACCCATTTGGACTGTGGACACCCATTTTGGCTGTAGACACCCATTTGGGCGTAACGGGTAAAAAAAAAAATCCCGTTGTATTACATTCGCCCATTCATCCCCAATCTCCAGGACAAGGATCCCTTTTGGGAGCCCCCGGACTCAGAAGTTATGATCGGCTGCACCCACGTCTACCTCCAGTCCCTGGGCTACCTGATTGAAGTCGAAGAATTCCTGGGAATCACTGATTACCGTGGCAATGAGCAGGGTCTCCTGAAAGTTGACATCTACCCTTGTAATCGAGACGGATCGGCGCTGGCCGAAGACGACTTTGTCGACGAGCCTAAGGAATTGGTAAAACTTTGCCTTTGCTACATGTATTTCTGTCCTTAAAGTTTTACAAATGAATTTAAAATCTGATTGTACCAAACCTTAAACAATGTACATCAAAGGTAATTTCAAGTGTTTTTAATATCAGTTAAATCCCCTTTTTGACATCATTAGTAATATATTTTTACAAAAAATTGTAGTTCCCCAACCCTAAGCTCAAAGGCTAGCAACATTAGCAATGCTGAAAACCGGGGAAATAGCAAATGGGGATCACTCAGAAAGAACACTGCTGTTTGTTTTTATTGCCCTTTTGACAAATTGGGGAACCGCCAGCATAGGGCTGGATAGCTCAGTGGGTAGAGCACCGGAACGGCAATCCGGAGGTCGCAGGTTCAAACCCTGCTCCAATCAGTTTCTTTGTTCAACTTTGACAAATTATTGTAATGCACCTAGTCAGTTTCCCGTGGTGGTTTGTTTGAAATTATAGACAAAAATAATTAGATCATCAAATTATGAGGACAAATTTGTCAAAGATGAAGAAGTGCAGAGGGGACATAAAGCTATCGACAGTCTCAGTAAATTTTAACAAAACAAAAATTGTCGTCAGTGTGGCTATAGTCCCTAAACAAAACGAAACAACTTGATTTCTTGTTTTCTTTCTCATTGTAGTTGGGTAGGCAGGTAGCCTTCAAGATCGTCTTAACCCACGCTAGAGGTCTTCCTTTAAGATTTCAGAAAGTAAGTTTGTCTTGTCCGCCAATCCGTCATTTGGTACTTGGGTGTGTTAATTTTGTTCAATTCATCTGAAATTCCTAAGAAACGCAGTTTTTAATTTCAAGTAGGCCAAACTATTGTTTGTAAAGCTGTTTGTCCTGGAGGTTTCTCCTAATTTGTTTTTGTGGTTTGCCTCCAGAGTCGTTGTAAATATCGTTTCTACCTTGACAAGAATGCAGAAGAGACGGCCGAAATCAAAGGAACCTGCAACCCAGACTACAACTATAATAAGTTAGTGTCTGTCAACGTCGTCACAAAACAGGTGAGGTACTAAACAGCAAGTAAACTCAAATTCCACTTTTGGGGTTGTTTTAGCGTTTTACCCTTTACTGGCACTTTTTTGTGAAAAGTCATTTTAAGAGTTCGCAGAATAAATTACTGATCGCGCATTGACGTTGACCCTTTAAAAATTAAATAGAAAATAAGTAGTGTTTTCAAGTACAATGCACAGGCAGTAACAAGTCCATCACAAATTAATCACATGTTCATCGCAAGTCCATCACAGGTCCATCACAAGATCATTGCAAGTCCATCTCAAGACAATCACAAGTCCATCCCAAGTCCATCGCAAGTCCATCTCAAGACAATCACAAGTCCATCCCAAGTCCATCGCAAGTCCATCCCAAGTCCATCACAAGTCCATCACAAGTCCATCACAAGTCCATCACAGGTCCATCACAAGATCATTGCAAGTCCATCACAAGTCCATCACAAGTCCATCACAAGTCCATCACCAGTCAATCACAAGTCCATCACAGGTCCGTCGCAAGTCCATCACAAGATCATTGCAAGTCCATCACAAGTCTTGTGATGGATTTCCGATGGACTTGTGATGGACTTGTGATGGACTTGTGATGGACTTTCGATGGACTTGTGATGGACTTGCGATGGACTTGTGATGGACTTGTGATGGACTTGTGATGGACTTGTGATGGACTTGTGATGGACTTTCGATGGACTTGTGATGGACTTGCGATGGACTTGCGATGGACTTGTGATGGACTTGTGATGGACTTGTGATGGACTTGTGATGGACTTGTGATGGACTTGTGATGGACTTGTGATGGACTTGTGATGGACTTGCGATGGACTTGCGATTGACTTGCGATTGACTTGTGATGGACTTGTGATGGACTTGGGATGGACTTGTGATTGTCTTGAGATGGACTTGTGATGGACTTGTGATGTTTTGTGATGGATTTGTGATGGACTTGTGATGGACTTGTGATTGACTTGTGATGGACTTGTGATGGACTTGTGATGGACTTGCGATGGACTTGTGATGGACTTGCGATGGACTTGTGATTGACTTATGATGGACTTGACATGACTGAACACAACTGAATGTGACCATCAGTAAAAATTGATAGATTTTTTTGCCCTTTTTTCCCTTTTTTTTTAGCTTCTTGACTATTTCAACAGTGGCACGCTGGTCATCGAGGTGTGGGGACGTCAGTCTGACGCTAGTCACAAACCTCGGGTTACCCGGGGCCGACCAAAAACCGGCACCGAAAAAGGAAACAATTTGGTAAGGGATCAAGTCAAATTGGCTGTACTCACTAGAGAGCATTGTAGTGCAATTCTACATGTACAAGAAATTTCATCTACTTTGATTAAAAATTGCAAAAATTTTTACTATGGATTTTGTTTGCTAAATTGTTTGCATAATTCTGCAACATGGAAAAACAAAATTTGTCTATAAAGTTAAAAAGTCATACGAAATTCATTGCATTGCACAGTGTAATTGTGGTGCTGTTCAGAACAGTATCAAAGAACAGTAATGTTATGCTTTCCAAGATTTTGTTGTGAATTTATTTTTTTGGATGTCTTCAAGGAAACTTACATCTGTATGTCCTTTAAGGGTCATAGTAGATAATTTAATTTGTATATGACTTTGTACTTCTATTGCCCTTAGTTTCTGTGTCAGATTTTGTTTTCCCTTTTTTACTCATTTTATTATCTTTCTTTTTTCCAAATTGTTATTTTTGAAGGACGCAGAAGAAAAATACCGCATGGCTGTCGAACTGAACACAGAGAAAAAGAGAGTTGCAAGACTGGAATCCAAACTAGTGAGTTTTCCCACTTTAAAAAAAAATGTCAATTAGATTCCCTAAAAGAGATACTTTGAAATTAAAACCTTTTAGAGGTAGAGTATATCATTTGCGGCTATCCAATGGTAACTGACAAAATTATCGTTAAAAAGCATACTTGGTTTAAAGATAGTAATGGCACTATTTAAAACTCCCTGTGAAATTATTCTTTATGGCATGCTGTCAATTTGAAGAAAGCAGTAACAGAAGGCCAACTCCACATGAAGCATTTTTGGAAATTTCCGTTAGTAGTTGGTTTGTGATTGGGCGAATCTGCGGTTGCTATTATTCGTCACTTCATTGCGTGACATCGTGCAGCAGCAATTGGCTGAATGAGAACTTGCCCCGGACGCTGATTTCAGGCGCAATTCAAAACATGACTCAACAACATTTGAATTGAGACCGAGATCCTGGTATATTGTTTTCTCGGAATATACAGCATTCACAGAGCTAAAAGTTTTTCAGGTTAGTCCTTAGATTTTGAGCACCTTTGTTGCTTCCAAAACAAAATTCACAAATGACAAACGATACTCTAAAAAGCTTACATTGGATTTTTTCGTTTGCTTTCGAAACTATTTTCAGCACAAGCTGAGGGACCTGGTCCTCGATGCCAAAGCCCGGGGGGAAGAATTTGTCGCGATCAAGGACATGGAGGCCGCTGTCATGGGCGGGTCGTCGTCAAGCTTCAAAGCGGCCGCCCGAGTTGTCGCGATCACCGAGAGCTCAAAGGCCAACGGAAATGTGACAAGTACGACCTGTAATGTACAATGAAACATCAAATCTTCCTTCAAATAAACTGATTTTAGTTTGTGTAAATGCTTTTAAAGAACTTGCGGAAAGAATGTTGCAGCCTGACGCTGCTTTTCTCTTCATATATCATCTCAATGAAGGTCACTCATTGCAAAAATGACGATAAGACATGAAACTGGAACTGAGATTATTATATTTAGTGAAAAACATTTCCGAATTTGTAAGGAAATTTTCTTGACTCTCCATTAGTCCGAGTAACTTGGACCCAACTTATCGCCTTTTTAACATCAAATACACAAATCTTTACGGCGCTGTGAAGTAATGGTTGTATTTTTGCTTTTTAATTCATATATGTCTTTATGCATTTTTAGCATATCTGTATATTAGTATTAAAAATGTGTAAAAAAATTAAGGTGTGAATTTATATTTTGTGAAATTGCAACTTATTTAATCTATCTAGAATATGTAAACAAATATATGTGTATTAATGAGAAGAAATTTTGTTGGAAATTTCAGACGCAATATCAGACGCAGTATTTAAAAGCATTTGAAAACCTGTATGCGTTATACAGCAAGTTAGGACATTTTCTTTTTCTGTTTCTTTATTATTTCTGCATTTGTTTTAATAACAATTACAGAAAGATTACAAGAAATCATCTCATTTTCATAAATGTAAGTTTGTTTTACAGACAAGCAAGATTTTGACCAAAAAGCAAAAAAAAAAAAACAACAACAAATGAACAGGCTCCATCATAATCCATTGTTGGAAAATTGTATTTTTTTGAATTTCCGTCCGTTTATTTCGTTACTTGCTGTTACACTTTTGCTTTTTTTGTGTGTGTTTTATCGTTTGTACAGTGTTCAGTGTTGTGTCCATTGAATTCTGCAGCTGTTGTGTCCGCTATAAACAAATAAATTACAATATAGATAAACAAATAAATATATAAAAATATATAAACTTGACCCAGTTGAACCAGTCTTTGAAAATATTTAGTTGCAATCACGTGTGCATTGCAAGGTTTTTACAAAAGAACTGGACACCTTTTTTAATGTACATTAGTTTTTAATAGACGTCATGCATAGCAGCCATCTTAGAGTGCAGTGCCTTTGTGTTGCTTGGATATATGCATGAGTGAACCTTTTGTGTATTCAGTGCTACTGAATTATAATATCTATGAAAGATGCTTTCTAAGATGGTCGGTGCGCATAAGGTCCATGGCATGGGCGTTGCCAGGATTTTTTCTGGAGGGGGGCAAAACATATTTTTCCAAAAAAATTCTTGTATTTCTCGATTTATCAGTTTTAGGGGGGGGGGCAGGGACATTTTGACCCCCCCCCCCCCCCCCCCCCACACACACACACACACACACCTCTTTTTCTTTAAGGCTTTATTTCATTAATTTATGTGTAGGTGCAGTAAAAAAAAAGTCATTCTGTGAATGATGAATGTGGTGTAAATTTTACTTCTGCTGTTAAACTGAGCAGGTTGATATTGTGTAATGATAGTGACATTTGATTTATATCTGTCAACTTAAATAGTTTCAAAAATTCACTTATTTTTATAGCACATGTATTCATATGATTTTTTTCTAGAATTTTTCTCCAAAACTTTTGAAAAGTTTAGAAAGCAAGTATTTGTTATTTGCCAAAATGACATTAATTTTGGAATAGTTTTCGGATTGATAGAATGGTGGTATGTGTGTGTAGTGTGCTATACAACTCTCCTTAAAGGGAAAATACAACATTTGCAAACATCACAAAATAAAACTACCAAATCATTTTGAAATACCTTGCTGGACTGTTAGTGAATGACAGTGTAAAGCATCCTGTAAAATCATGGCACCTGGTATACTGTCATTTTCAAGAACAGTGGTATTTTTGTATCAATCTCCAACGCTGATCGGCCGATCAGCGTTGGAAACAACTGGCTTTTTTTTCAAATACTGGCCCCAATTGACCATTGCACTTGTTTGCAATCGATTACAAACCTATGAACGGGTACGAGCCAGCTAGAATGGTTCCCTGACCTTACAATTCCCCAATTTATGTAAACTGCTCTGTTTCTTCTTATATGGAGTCAGGGAGCCAGACTACAGGAAAATGATCGTTTTTCTTGGTTTTTATAGCATTTTCGAACCCAAAACCTCAAAAAAGTCAGTGTAACTATATTTGCTATATATTTCCAACCCCCCAATTCCATCCATTTCTGAAAATTACAGCAAAAGCAAATGATGTATATTCCCTTTAATAACATTTCTGTGAGTTTTTAATGAATCCTAAATTATATAATCATTGTACATAATTAATAATTCTCTGACAGTTTTGTATGAAGAAATTATTCAATTGACTAGCTTCGCTCTTGTTCGAATAAAAAGCTTTCAGAGCTATTGGACATACAACGTTTGGGTGTTGACTGAGTTTTGTGTACTACTTTTTCCTAATTTGCTAACTTGTGGGATGTCCCTGGGGCCCCGGCCGAGAGTTTGAAAAGTTGTCTTTCATCAAACCTAGGAGGAAATTTGAATTGGGGAGGACAGTAACATTCTGAAATTGTTCAATTGCTTTAACTTTTAATTTTCATGAGCAATTCCATATTCTGCTGAAAGAAAAAATTTGTTTTTGGGAGGAGGGGAGGTCCATCAACTCGGAAGTGCGCCCTCTGTTGTCGACACGAAATATGCAACTCGCCCGCCGCTAGAGGGCGCGCCGCGCCGGGTACCGGCTGAATTCCGTACGTCGATATTCCATGTATTCGCGGGACTCTGGTAAGAAAAATTATAAACCTACACTTTTACCGATTTTTGTTTCAATTCGTGATTTGTTTGGCATGCACAGAGTAATATAGGATAATTGGGTTACTACGGGTTTTTCGTTTATTTGCCTGCAGACATGACAGACGACGAAAAACCTCAAATTTGTTTGTGTTTTTAAAGTGTATTGCAATGCTGGCGCGGCCGGCCGCGATGTGACGTTCGTCCAGAACAACCCAAAAAGCACGGGGTCCAAATGCGTCAACAAACGTCAACAGGCATCAACAAATTTTGAATATGCTTTTGAACATTAAACGTAGCTTAATACATGTTATAGAAAAAGCAATAAAGCATATCTAAGTTCAGAAGTTAAAATTAGTTAAAAAGTTGTTTTAATACGTTTACCAGCGCGAAACCTCGCTCCACCATGTCCACCCACTCACTGTCATGCTGGTCGTGGGAATAAGCCTATTTGCCATTCTTAATCTTATTCAAAAAAAATAAATAAGGGTAAAGCAGAATATTTGATTCTTGATAAGAAATGTAACTTTGTTCCCAAACCTAACCCTCCCATGGGCTTTATTCACGAGTCGGTCGTATTAAATTGAAAGCGATATGATTATGAATTATGAAATCTTCTTTTTTGAAACTTGCAAAATGCATGAATTGATGAAACAGTCGTCTTGCTTTCCACGACAAAGCACCAGACAAAAATTGAAACCTAGCGCGCCTGAAAGCGGTATTGCACCCACATCACGCACAATGCATGAAAATACATGCACACGACCAGTGGATGGTGCGATTTGTAAAATCTATTGTGATATCACGCGACGCTTCATGGGATTCATGATACGTACAGATGACATGCACAACAACCGTGGCAGTGGAAGTTATTCTGGAGAAACGCCGCCAAAATCATTCAAAAATGTCATATTTTAGTTTTTCTTGTTCTAAAAATTAATGTGGCCTGACGTTGCGAACTTGGCAAGTTCTTCTTCAGAGACATCTGTTTGAAGTCGATTATTAGCTTCATGAATGACTGCTGCATGGTATGAGGTATGAATTATGGAATCTGGGTTGGGATAATAGAGGGAAAATGTTTTTGTAATGCACTGGGAGTATACGGTCGTGTCATTCGACCGATAGCGTCATGATCGACCGATGGTGCAACATGATCGACCGATCACGCTCGTCGACTGATCGCGCGGGACATCAATATCAGTCTGGGACTTGAGTGCTAACATGCAAAACTAAATCAGGCCAACTTACTCACTCTTTGGACCACAAATTTCTCCAAAAATTCCATTGGGCAAAGAAAAGGTCCTCAGTATTTCACCAACCAAGTTTGCAGACTCAATTCTATTGTTAAAGGAGACTTTTCTTCAATATTTTGCACATAAGAGGGAAGTCAAGTGATTTCAAAATGAGGCTAAAGACTAGACTGGTACATGTCCAACCATGGTCCAACTGTTTGAAAAGACTGACCTCTTCATTCAGTGTCATTAGTCTGGTGGCTGACTATGGAGAAATGTGTAGTAAATAGAGACTAGTTCCCGGTTCATGCCACATGTTTCTTAAATTCTTTTGGCATGGTTGATTGATGCAGTACTGAAGCGGTGTTGGACTGGTTGTTTCAGGTGCCAGTCTATGTTCTTGTTTTGCATGTTTTCAATACCTTAACTTTTGGGACTCTCATACACAGTTTTGAGAGTCCAAAAAAATTTCGGACTGCATGGATATGAAACTTAAATTGAAGTTGGTTTAAGCAGTGGCAAAGAATGTTGACTCCACTGTGTTACAAAATAAACAGAATCCTTCATGCCCTTGGAAAGAGTGTAGTATCCAGACGCCACTTCTGGGGTTGTGTACAAAATCTATGGAGAGTCAAGAAAATTTTTAAAGTACAGTTAGTGCGACAGTTCTGGATCATCGACAGTTCCGGATCACTTTGCTTTAAAGGGAATATACATCATTTGCTTTTGCTGTAATTTTCAGAAATGGATGGAATTGGGGGATTGGAAATATAAAGCAAATATAGTTACACTGACTTTTTGGAGGTTTTGGGTTCGAAAATGCTATAAAAACCAAGAAAAACGATCATTTACCTGTAGTCTGGTTCCCTGACTCCATATAAGAAGAAACAGAGCAGTTTACATACATTGGGGAATTGTAAGGTCAGGGAACCAGTCTAGCTGGCTCGTACCCGTTCATAGGTTTGTAATCGATTGCAAACAAGTGCAATAGTCAATTGGGGCCAGTATTTGAAAAAAAGCCAGTTGTTTCCAACGCTGATCGGCCGATCAGCGTTGGAAATTGATACAAAAATACCACTTTTCTTGAAAATGACAGTATACCAGGTGCCATAATTTTACAGGATGCTTTAGACTGTCATTTACCAACGTCCTATTAAGGTATTTCGCAAAAACTTGGTAGTTTTATTTTTCGATGTTTGCAAATGTTGTATATTCCCTTTAAAATAAAGGTCTTAAAGTTTGAAATTTGCCAGAACCGAAATTTCACCCTACTTTATTTTTCAGAACAGTCAGAGTGTATCTTTGAAAAAAGTCTTCGTTGCTCTCGTGTAGTCATAATAATGGTGCAAATATTTGCATAATTTGTAATTACTTAAAAATAACAGTCATGACGAAACGATGATGACAGACTTCACAAATTGGTTGCGTAAACAATTGAATTCCTGAGTAAGACTGACTCTGCCACAAAAACGATTTCAGCTAGTGTTCAACTCCTCATTTTAGTTAACTATAGACACGATGCAAAAAATAATAATGTGTTTTTTGTAAGAGCCTCTGTTTTGATGACGTCACACTTTGTTTACGTGTGTGCTTTTCTATGGGGCTACGAAACCTTCGTCCCCACCAGGCTCCCACAAGAAAGCACACATGTAAACAATGTGTGAGGTCATCAGCACAGAGGCTTATTGGTTTTCTGATAAATTATTTGTATGGGGTGATGAATTTTTGTGCTTTGACAGGTGCCCAGGCACATCACGTTTAATTTGATGGATGACTCATGTGGCCTTTTGGTTGTTCAATTGTTTTCTGTAGTTGTAATAGAAAACCTTGCCATTGCAGTTGAACAAAGTAGTATTCTGGTTTCCTGGTTTTTGTGAACAGATAACTCATAGCCCATTTGGACGTGTATAGAACATCTTATCTTCAAACAAACTTGACTCCTCAATCCTGATTGGTTGATCCATGGCAACAATAGTGTGATACATGTATTATATACTCACTGTATCACGCTATTCCAAGATACATTTAAGGAATAACTGCTGAAAAGTTTGTGTAATGCGTGCGTGTTCCGTCTTTGCTGTACGCCAAGTTTGCTTGAATGTAGATTTGATATCCCACCGCCCGCGCTCGTGGAACACGGAAAATGTAGTACATTGTAGGTCTTGCGGCCAACATGTGGGATACTAAATTATTAGTGCATGTACATGTAGTTTTCTTTTACGGTTATCAGCATAGTGTACACATACACATGTACGTTGATGGACTTGATACTAAAA